CCAATTACTTTAATGATAAAACACTGATAGCTGAGGAGGGAGTGGACATGCCAAATAATATTAGAAGATCACAGAGTGTTGGAAATCTGGATCTGGATAAATTAGAGAACTTTTGTAAATTAAGAAGTGGGAGAGTTTATAGAAAAAGTGATGTATTTGAGGACAAATCAGCTGCTAGTACATCACAATATAAGAAAAATACTACTAGAAGAAAAAGTAATGAATTTGAGGACAACTCACCTGCTGCTAGTACATCCCATTATACCAGAGCATTGTCTAAGGAGAACCTTACAAGATTAGCCCAACCCAAGAGACATTACGGCTCTGAACAAAATTTAAGCAGAAATGAATATGTACCCATGGCGGAAGCTGTTAATAGGTTTCAGCATGGTACACCAAAAAGGTTTCGTTCTAGACCTAATTTGTCAGGCGAACCGTCACAACCGACAATACCACATTCTCCAAAATTATTAACATCAATTAGAGGACGACCTGTACCTGATTATGTACTATCTCAAAATCAAAAAGAACAACTTGAATTTGAAGAAGCTAAAAAGTCTCAGTTTAAAGCCAATCCTATGAATAAGAATATTTTCAAAACTCCTGTAGTGTATAATGCAAAAGTTAAAAAATCAACCATACCAGAGCCTTTTAAATTAACAGCACCACCTAAAAAAATCGGCCCTTCTCCAGTTAAAAAAGTACCAGAATTCCATGCCAAACCTGTACCGAAATATCTATTAGAGCCTCAAATACCCACAAATAAAGCACCTCTTCGAATCCACGTTACTAAACCTCATACACCGTCATTCATGAGACACAGATCTCATTCACCCAAGAGAACTCCACAAAACAAGAACGAGACGTTACAAACACAACAAAATAAGTTGAAACCAACTAGACCTGTTCCATTTAGTTTCGAGACCAGAGACAAACACATAATGTCGAAAAAGGACCAACTAATTCAAAAAGTTTTGGAAGCTGAGAAGAAGGCTAGGGAATTTCACGCCAAACCAATACCTAAGTCTATTTTGCAGCCCACGAGAGCTCTCTCAATGGCCACAAAAAATGGTTGAAGAAGAACGGCCATGCCAACTATTCGGTATATAAAAAATAGGCCTCACTGCTTAGCACCACGACATCTCGCAGCAAACAATGTGGAAGTTGAAGTTAAGAAAATTGTGAACCGACTCAGTGCATCTTATTCCAGGCACACTCCCGTCAACAGCTTGTCGGTATTTCATTGAGGACTCCTGAATCCAAAACTGCCCCTTAGAGGACAAAATGGCGAGACCATGGACAGAAATCGTCTGTAATTTATGCTTATGTAATTTATGTAATTTAGGTCGGCAAATCTAAAATAAATTGTTTAAAATAGCAAATTACAAAAATGTGTTTTTCTTTTCCTTACCTCCACGATTGGAAGACCTTTTTACAAAATATAATAACGAAAGTTTTATCAAATCTGACACCTGCTTTCTCAAATCCCAAATCGGAAAAGAACCTGCCTTGAAACGTTTACTTCATAAAACACCTTTATCAAAGACGAACATCGAACCGAGCAATCGAATAACCTTGAACGGAAAATCTACCAATCAGCTTATTACCTGATCCTAACAACAAAACGGCACTGCCACTCAAAGCTCGATCTGTGGTCTGACACCTATTAATCTAACCTCGCTAATTATTTAGATCCTTGACCACCCACTACATGTGACATGTCAAGATTTTGACATCATGACATATATGATGACAGACAACCAGAAAAATAATAAACAATGTTTATGGAAATAATTTTGAAGATTTAAAAGTGAAAGAGTATAATTCAAACGAAACAAAATTGACGGATGGCGAGATTAACGTACATTTCATTAAATAATTACTTGTTGGTGAGTATTCTATTACTATTCAATACCTAAATAAATGTTCCTAATTCAATATTACTTATGTTTCAGATATCTACCTGTAAGAAAATCCCAGGGAGTTTGTTTAAACTATTGAAGATAGAAGTTTAGCCAAGATGCTAGAAATTGAAATATCCTTTTTTATTCATATAATTCATTGTAGGTATACAAATAAATATTAATAAATGCATACTCAAACAGATCTAAACCATTCATTTCTGTGTTCAGTATTTAGGTTGTATGAATGTTACAAAAGCAATACATTTTTTATACAATAATAATCTACTTACCACATCGATTATTTTGCTTGATTATTATCAAAGTTAATTCGATTCTTATAGCCAAAGAGTAGACCGAATTTATCAATAATAATTGCACTCAAAAAATTACACCAATATATCCATTTAAGACGCTATTTTTGACAAGCTGTATCTTTTGTTTTATCACGTGGACAAGCAAGGCTAATCTGGCTTGGAAAGAAGTAGTCCAGGATCCGTAAGTAGGGTCGACCTTCACCCATCTGTTTAATGGATAAAACCTATTTTTTATTAAATAAAATATGTTTTTAAATATACCGCAAATGGGTTGCTTAAGAAAATACGGTCACGGCCATTTTTTACTTTCCTTTTTGTGTACAGATAAGTATAAAAATCATGATAAAAGTTGTTTATGATGTCATTATCTATTATTTTGATTCTATACATGATTTTCCTAAAATGAACCTAATTCGAGATATTTGAGGAAAAGTGCAAATTTCGAATTTTGAAGACAACTCAAAAAACGGATAAAGAGAAAAACACCAAATTTTAAACTTAAGCTTTAATCCATCCTGCGGTGAGTTGACTAAAGTTTGGGCATAGTTGAAGCATCTGGGGAAGTCTTTACAGGCTGGACCATATTTTCTTAGGCAACCCATTTGCGGTATATTTATAAATATATTTTATGTAATAAAAAGAAACTTTCATCCATTAAACAGATGGGTGAAGGTCGACCTTACTTCGGATCTTAGACTAAAGGATTTATTGCAATAGGTTTACCGTATAGTTATTTTTGTCAGTTACTTAAATTTTGATTTTAGAGTTTTTGGTAAATTTTGTCTAACGTGGCCCCTCTGTGCGACGTGTTGAAAAGAATTATTGCGATTGTTAAGTATTTATCTACACAATGCTTGGCATTTCAAGATTCTTCCAAATTACCTACTTTTCGAACATGATAGGAAATTTTCTAAAAGCTGTTGAGATGATTGCCTCTTTTGATTCAGTGATGAGACAACACGTTAGCCGAGTGTGTAACTTCCAAAAAAATCTGTTAAAATTACTCATTATGTAGGCGTGTAAATACAGATTGAAATAATTGAATTATTGCCGTCTAAAATAAGAAATCATATTTTAGAAAAGCTCTCTAAAAACCGATTTGACTTATTAAATGAGTATATTTTCGGATTTTTAGCGACATTCAAATTAAGTGACAGCGATCTTTTAAAACGTTGTTATGTTCTTAAAGAACGACTGACAGATCAGGATATAGACTCCAATGATTCGTTTAATGAATTTAAAGCGTTAGTTGTTTTCATTACCTGATGATACTGACCCCTTAAGTATTTTATAATATATATTTGAAAACAATTTAATCTCCAATCATTAAAAAATTATTTAAGATCGACAATGCTTCAAGACAGATTGTCTGAGCTAGCAATATTAGCAATTGAACAAGAACTTTTTGATGATATAAATTTTAGCGATGTAATTAATGAATTTGCAACAGCAAAGTCTCGGAAAATATCGCTACAATAGCTATTTTTTATTTTTCTCTTGTACCTAGCTATCATTTTTGATTTTATAACGAAGTTACCTAGGTATTTGTTATCAGAAGTATCTGCATATTTTTTAAAATATCTAAGTATAAGTAGAAAGTAGTACTTATATATGTAGACATTAGGCAATATTTCTGTTATTTGTACCTAAAATGTGAATTTTAGTTTTGGGGTATTTATAAACAACGTGTCTATACCCATTAGTGTTAAGTAAATGCTTTAAAATGAGTGTGATCAAGAATTTATTTTGTTATGATTTTATTCCGTTTCATTTTAATATTTTAGTCTACAAATAAATATGACTTCTAAAGTTCAGTTTTTGCTTTATTTCAAGCACCTACCTACCTACCTACCTTCAAAAAAATAAATAAAAAAACATGATCCAAAATGCCTAAAGGGGCGCCAATATCCTTTTTTACACACAGGCGCCAGTAGCCCTTACGGGAGCCCTGGTATTGATAAACGAAAATATTTCTGAGACACCCTTTATAATAACCGTTAAAACACATCCACAGCTACAAACGACAATATTCTGTCCTTCTCTACAAAGTAAATCACGGAAACATCTTCCGATACTTTCTCAACCAATCACAACGAAACACGCCCACAATCGCAACTACTCACACTTGACAAGGCAAACATTGAGGCTACTTTTGATCGACACATCAACATCTTAGCTTTTTCCCGTTGTGAGCACGACGCTAAAAACTAAAAACATATTTTGAGATGTATTCAACGTATAAACAGTAAATTTAAGTACTCGTATCATTTCAGTATGTAACATTGTTGTAAGCTGAAAGAAGTGTGTAGTGTAAATAAAGTTGTTAACTGGAAAACATATTTAATTTCATTATAATCAAATAAGGATCTGGCAATTTATCTACAAACATCATATTTTTCTACTAGCTGCATTACTACTCTCCGCTGCTCTCGGCTGATGGAGACACCCTTCTTTCTGAGAGGGCGATTGAGAGAAAAAAAAAGTCACAGAGAACAGTTATTAATAGAGTATTTGCTCCACTCCTTTAAAAAATACCATTTAATTTTTTTATAACTGTTTACACATTTATTTTTATTATTCTCAAAGTTGCATTATTCACATTGGCGTCATGAACTGCTTGGATTTATTTTCAAAAAGTCTACCAAATCTTAGCCCTTTAGCTTTTACTATTCAATTTCATTTGGAAGTAAAGTTAAATGCAATTAAACTCTCACCTTAATAGACCTAGAAAAGATACGAGTATAATAAAAATATATTAAATGTTTAAAAAAATTTATTTTTCGATGAAAATACAAATATTATTAAAAGAAGCATTTTTTTAAAATTTATATTGAGTTAAATAATATATTGGTCCAAAACCTTTCAACATAATTTTTTTTTAATTCAATGGCATTTTATAAAAAAGAATAAATCTTCTGTTCCATCTACATTTTTAACACTACAAAAAAATGTTTAAAAATCATCCATAAACAAAACAAACTTAAAACTATTAAAATTTTACATATTCTAAAATTACCAAAAAATACATTTGAATTAATACCATATTTGATGATTTTTCATAAGTTCCAATTAGTTTTGTTATTTGTAATTTTTATAGTATAGCAGGGACAGATGTTGGTTGGCTTTTGGTGGGCACAGAGATGGTAAACGGCAAACACCATCGGACGACTTCGAGATAAATAGAATAAAAATATACCAAACATTTTAAATGATTACCGGCAGAATGGCGCAATCATATCTATTTATAGGCTAGAAATCATTATTTATGCAAGTAATAACATCCCAAATCATATTTCTACAAAATTTGAACAGATATTCTCAATTTATTAAACTATTTACACGAATTTGTTATTAGCATTTATAAAATAAGTTTCTTCGGTTATCTCCGCGGCCTCTCCAACTTCTGTCCCTGCTATATTCATGAAAATTTAATCAAATAAATTTCATAAAAAGAAACGATAAAAACGAATTAACAATAAAACTTTTATTCCTTAGAAAAAAATGTTAACGATCACAAAATGTCTTTTTTGTTTGTATTCATTCTGAGAAAACACCTTCATTACTCACGAAAAATCACCAGATTTGAAACACTCTCAAAATAACAAAATACTTATCACAGATAAATTAAAATATAACTAACTGAGAAATAGTGAGTATATTAGGAATGTGGGAACTTTACAATGAAACATCACCGTACTGTAAAGACCACTTTTCATAAGCTACAAGGCTTTGCGGTGACACGCTACGTCTAATGCGCTTTAGGGAATCCAAGAAATCATTAATTGTTATGCTACGCACAGCATTCGGATCCATTTGCTTTACTTGTTCTGGTTGCAATTCTAAAAATAACAAACAAATTTAAACACAAAACTTTTTACATTATTGGTAAGTTATTAATTAAAATGTATGAGCCTCATAATAAACTATGAAACTATGACTAATATCTTACAGACTGAATAATTTATGTCATTCTATTTCACAAGCTTTAATTTTGGGTCAAAATAATTTTAATAATTATTTAAGGAGGGGGTATCCATTGAATTTCTCAACAAATTTATTTCAAATAGATTTTCATCCGGTTGTGTTCATGAGGTATTTAGTAAATGTCGACCTATTAAGGTTTATCTTTTACACAACCAAAAAATAAATCTTACGTTCAAAAATTTTCAAAAAATTCACCTAACATACTCATCAAATTTTGAATTCTGGTGAGCCGTTCGTGAGTAAAAAATGTTTTGTTCAAAAAAAAGTTTTCTTTCATCATATTTTTTTTTTCAAAATTGTTCTAAGCGATCTCTATGTCATTGTTATACTAGGAGAATTTTTACAAAATTTTTAAACTTAGTTTTTTTATAAATAATAATATTATTTCACAATGAATTATCTCTAAAACTTTTATAAACGTACAAAACTAGTATATTTCCTGTTATTATAACTTTTTATTGCTTTACACACCACCTAAGATTTATTCTAAACACTGAATAATCGTAAAAAGTCAATAAAAACGTTTTAATTTAATAAATATTTTTAAATTTGGCACCTAAAACATTAGTCCAGTCGGCACTGCTAGGAATAGAAATTGAATTAACGTTTCTGAATCTACCCACTTGGATGTATCGTGACCGCCGAATTTTTTGCGATGTTGCCAAATCGAATTACATATCAAAGAATAAAGGATATTACAGAATGGTTAATATAACAGCAAATATATTAATTAATTGTGGGATTATTTACGGTTGTCCGACGACAAAGAATATTGTTAATAGACATGTTCAATTTCTTTGTTTAAATATATATGATATTTTTGGTTTAAATATTTAATAAACTTCCATAACAACTCTTTAAATTCTTATTAAAAACATATATTTAAAAGTTCTAACAGTTAGATAAACGCATTACAACGCGTAATCGTTTTGGGACAAAAACAAACTTGTTTTTTATATCTATTAGATAGAGAATCCCTATTATGCGCAGCAGTTATCTGTTTTACAGACAACGGCGTAGCTTATTTATGTACATTCATGAATTATGAGGAATCGAAGAAACAAAAATGGGGAACGGTCATTAAATCTACGAACAAGATTTTTTATTCTGGGCACTGGCTGTTTACAAATAATAATGGAAGGCGGGACGTGATTGCTACATGTAGGTATGTAAACGCTTATAGAAAAAAAAAAAGGAAATTTGGAAATTTCATTGTGACACATAGTGTGTTAACACATGGATTCTTTGAAATAAAAATGAGACAATTATATTCGCATTTGAAAAAAAAATAAGGAGATTTTAGTAAATCGGCTGACTGCCTGCCGTGATTAGACGCATGGTTACACCTCTGCCACTAGTGGGCTGGCGCAGACTGTTCTACCTCTGTCTAATAAATAGCATCGCTTATTCTATACCGTTCTTCTAGTGCAATTTAATTATTCTATACCGTTCTTCTAGTGCAATTTAAATCAATACGATTTTTATATAAAACTGAATATAGCGTGTGAAATACCTTGTATAATCCCATACTAGTTGATATGATAATAATGGCGAAAGCAAGGGTAATTCAAATTCAAAAAAGATAATTTTGTTCCAGACTGAAGTTATTGAATTATTCGATATATAACAGATATTAAAATATATAATTTAATGCTGTCTACCGTTCTGTAAATGTTTTTTTTTTTAATCTTTAATAGGGCCAGTTATAATGGACTTTTCACACTGTATAATTTAAATATTTTAAATTGACAAAAATATTTTCTTAATATCTATCGTACGTATCAAAAGACCATAGAAAATTTTGAATATGTGGGAAAAACTCTTCCTCTGGAATGGCAAGAAAACGAATTTAATTATTCATATATATTTGTTATTACCTAGTTTTATGCTTCATAGGTAATTATTTTGATAATTATAGCCAGCGCATATATAACTTTTACACTTTATTAGTAAACTCAAAAAAGGTAAAGTAAAAAATTAAGCAATTTGACAGACGAAATTTTAAAATATAAGTTATGAAAGAAAAAGTAATATTTTCTCGTGTTTCTCGTTTTCTTTTGAGTCATACTGTATATAGTTTATGAACTACCTATATATTTTAAAATATAAGGCGAGAAAAGAAAAAATAATGTTTCTTTCGTTTTTTTTTTAATAATACTGTATATGGTTTATAAACTACATATTTTGAATTATGGCTTCCAGTCCGCTGGTTGGCCTAATTAATAAAAATAATTAAAAAGTTCTTTATTTTATGTTTGTCTCTTAATATTTTGTTTCACAATATTTTGTTTCGATGTTTTGTGATAATTTAAAATTATGCGAATTTTGTCATACACCGTGTTTGTTTGAATAATGAAAAAAATTCTAGATCTTTAGATTTTTAAGGCTTTAATAATATTTTTCTATGACTGAGTTATACATATATAAATAATAAATAACTCAAAAACTTACAAATCAATTTTTCGAAAATTCCAACCCCGACGAGATTTTTTCAGAAATAATCGAGGCATTTTATCTGCGTTTTTATAACTTTTAACAACTAAACTATAAAATAAATGTCCAAAACTTAAAGCACTAATAATTTATATTGGTTAATATGAGAAAAAAATTATTTCACAAATTGTCTTTTTAAAAATTAAGTCAAGATACAACTGATACAAGTTAAAACAAAAAATTAACTGACTAATGAATTTAGATATTTCATGGCGTATGCACCCAAAGACTGTTTATATTAACAACATAAAAATCACGTCTCAGTAAGATTATCACATTCACATATTTGGAAGATTAGGCCGATGTACGTATTATGGATACAAAATTGATTTGGTCCAGCATCGCAAAGGTTCCAATGTGAGTCTATGTTTCTTTTAATTATCTCTATTATTTAAGATAAAACAAGACTACATTTTTACGAATTTTTGTACATTTTTTATGATATCGGCGTATATAAATAAAAAATCGGTAAATTAGGCAGTTTTTTGGACGTATTAGAGATAAATGAGTATTTATATCGTTACACATATTAACGAGTCTTTGTCTAAGAAAATTAATTTATGTGTAGAAGAAACCACTATCATTCCGCAGAATTTTGTAGGGCTAATTAAAAATGAAAACGTTAAGGGTGTTTTTGTTGATGTAAGATGTTTTTGTTGATCAAACATATTTTTGTTGATGTAAGATGTTTTTGTTGATCTAAGATGTTTTTGTTGATCTAAGATTTTTTTTGTATATCTAAGATGTTTTTGTCGCTTTAAGATATAGACATTAAGATAATAATTTTCATATTATTTTACCGTGTATTATTAACATGAATAATTGTTGCTGCATTCATGTTGCCAGTATGTCCGATAAATCTGTTTGTTACGAAAAAGACAGAATACTTGCTAAAAGTTGTACCTGCACCAGAGTTTCTAAAACTTGATGAGCAACAGATATTGCTGTATTTCCAAATTTTACGTTATTCGATCTTGAGAAACAAACTTATTCAGTATTAAATTGTATTGAACATTATAAATTACTTAACGAGTCTGGGGATTGTTTCGCTACTAGTTTACGAAAGGTTGCTAAAACGACTGTTACGGAAATGTCGATCACACTAAACGATAGCGAACCTGTAATGTACAGTTCATACTGCATGACTTTGATTTGGTAAATGCTCCTGCTGTATTACAAAGAATTATGAACAAAATATGTAGACCCACATGATAGGTCATTTAGCAGTTGACGACTTTAAGAAATTTGTTTAAGTGTTAAGAAAACTCGTATCTCATCATATCAATTAGCGGCTTTAAGAAATTCGTATGTGTTAGGAAAACTCGTATCTTATCATACCAATTAACGGCTTTAAGAAATTTGTATAAGTATTAGGAAAACTCGTATCTCATCACATCAATTAACGGCTTTAGGAAATTTGTATAAAAATGTTAGGAAAACTCCTATCTGATCATATCGATTACCAGCTTTAAGAAATTTGTATAAGAGTATTGGGAAAAACTCATATCTCATCATAGCAGTTAACGGCTTAACGAAATTTGTATTTTTAAAAGTGATACAGAAATACAAAACTGAAATTTATAGATGAATTTAAAATGTTCGGTGTTCCTGCAGGTTTATTGCGACCGTGACACTGATTTTACGAGCAAAAATTTTAAGGAATACTGTTTAACTTTAGGTGTTAAACAAGTCTGTTTTTATGTGTTAAACAAGCGTGTTTAACTTTAGGTGTTAAACAGATATGTTTAACTTTAGATGTTAAACAAGTGTATTTAACTTTAGGTGTTAAACAGGTATGTTTGACTTTAGGTGTTAAACAAGTATATTTAACTTTAGGTGTTAAACAGGTATGTTTGACTTTAGATATTAAACATGTAGTATGTACTACTTCGACTCATCGGGCTTACGGCCAAGTAGAACGAGTGAACAGTTATAGCTTCAACTAATGACGAAAATCGTTAGACGAAGCTGTAGCAGATGTAAACTGGGGAATTAATTTGACGGTTAATTCCACTACAGGGAAAACTCCCTTCGAACTATTTGGATGTTGAGATGGAACAAAGAGGAGATACTATCACGATACTAGTCACTGTTGGTGAGAATAAATGCCTTTTTATAAAATAACTTCAATTAAGTGATATAAAAACATTTTCGTTTCGTCAATCTTCAAACATAAAATTATTGAATTCAAATAAATCAACGTACGACTCTTAAGTCGTCATTTTTATTACACTTTTCCATTACTCGAAGTGCGTTCATCTGTTATAAGGCAAAAACGTGTTTATATCGTCTCTACTTCATTCTATCTCGATGGTCCTGGATGAGTTAATGATTTTTGACGGCTGAAGTCTGTGACGATAAC